TGTTTTCAAGTCCGTGAAATGCTGGTTGTGAGTATGTGGAGAGTGGTCACTGCATCCTGAAAAAGATGTGGGAAATCACCCGAGCAGCAGGCACAGGGAAGGCACCCGAAACAGTACTACGACTTCCCGTTTCCACCCCCAATCTGACGTGCTGACTGCTCTGCCAAATAGCTGAGGGGATTTTTCTTCATCAGATGAGAATGGTGTATTTTTATGGGGCTTTGCTTTGCTGGAAGCTGTTCCCTAGCCATGTCCGTGGACACTGACTCCATGAAGTTAACCTCAGGGCTCTGCGGTTCTCACGTCTATTAATCACGTTTCGTGATGGCTGTTTGGCTTTGATCTGGCACATCTCAAGAGAGTCTCCTTTCATGGTCCCTGCACTCAAAGAAATTCAGCACTTTCCAACAGTTGCTGAACACTCAGACATGGGCAAGTATTCACTGAGGTGCAAAGGACAGAAATGCTCAACCTTGTAAATGCAGTGGGCTAAATTATTGAGCAGTTCACAGTGAACTTCCAGGCAGGTTTTGCAGCCACCTTGAGCATCTGTCAAAAATCCTTTCTTGAATGTGTCTATCAGGCTCCAAAAAGGAATGTCTTGTCATTTTGGAAATCATTTGGATGCCTTTGGGTTTAAAGAGGTTATTAAAAGAAAAAAAAAAAAGAAGAATTATTTTTAAGGGGGTCATTGTAGCCCAGTAGTTACTACTTTGGAAGGGGAATACAGACTATTTATCCTGAGCGCATTGAAATTTGGGGTCCTAATTTTCCCTTTGGAAATCTTAATTTAAGATTCTTTTCTTCATCCTGCTGTTGACTTGCTCTGACTCTGGGAACAAGTCGCTGTCCTTCCTAGACCTGGGCAGGCCGTGAGGAGAGCTTAGCAGACCCCAGTTTTTGCTCCAGACAACCATTATTTATCAGCTTGGCTCAACTCTTAATTATTGAAAATTAAAATGCCCCTTCTTATGAAAGTCATGGCCCCCTGGCATTATTCATCTTGGCTTTGTTTTACGAGCGGCTGATACATGAAAGCAGAGAAAAAGCTCCAAACCCAAACCTGAGCCAACCCTTTCAAATCTACACCCTGCACATCAACAGCTGCAAAGTGGTTAAGAGACTTGATGCAAAGCTGATAAAATGCCAAAAATTCCTCATTCTCTCTCTTGGGGAGCAGGGAGGGTTGTCTGGAAAATGTCAACAATAAAAATTGCATTTAAGTGGTATATAATGCAGCCAGCTACTGTGGGCAGAGTTACGTGGAGCCAGACAAAAGGGTTTAAAGAGCACAAGCTCCCTACGCTACCTCCCATCCCAGCTGGAGCGCACAGAGCAGTACCACTGCTGTGAGGTCTCCTCAGCATGGACGGCCACGAAATGGAAAGGGCTCCTGAGCACAAAAGCCAATTACGGAAGAAATGTCTTCTCTTTCTTAGTAATTCTTACTTAAAATTGGCTAAATTCAGAGGTAGTGACAACTGATGCTGCTCTGCTGCGGTATGTCCACCCATCCACCCATCCACCCATCCACCCATCCACCCATCCACCCATCCATCCATCCATCCACCCACCCACCCATCCATCCATCCATCCATCCATCCATCCATCCATCCATCCATCCATCCATCCATCCATCCATCCATCCATCCATCCATCCATCCATCCATCCATCCATCCATCCATCCATCCATCCATCCATCCATCCATCCATCCATCCATCCATCCATCCATCCATCCATCCATTCCATCCATCCATCCTCCATCTACCCATTTATCTACCACCAGCTGAAGACACCACCCACTGCATTTGTCCCTACTTGGCCCTTTGCCTGAATCTCCATCGGGGCTGGATGTGCCCTTGCAGGCTGCTTTGGGCACCGGAGGGGGGGTAGTATCAGCCTGGCTGGAGATCCTCTTGCCCCTAGGACTAGCTGGACTTAGGGCAGACAGACTCAATTAGCCAATTTGGGAGGGGGAAGAAGAGATTGAAAAGGGTTATGCCCAGAAGACAAGAAGAAAGCCGTATTTCTTCTTTGGCCAGTGAAAGGAATAAAGGCTTGTCTTAAAACCATTCCATTTTTTAGAAGAAATTCCATTTCTTAAACCATTTTCTTCTGTAGCATCTGGGCACATCCCTTCTTTGTGGGAGAACAATGCTGTGGGGCCAGGCTGGGAGAGGCAGCGTGGCTGGGGGTCGGGCCAGCCACCCCCTGCTTGGGCAGCCCTGCTTGGTCCCCAACCGTTCGTCAGAGCTGGCCCGAGCCCGGGCTGTGCTCTTCCCGCTGGACCTCAGTGCTTCCTCGCCTCCCCCACTGCCGTAAAAAAGCCCTTGGCTGGCTCCTGCCTCGCGCTCCCGGAGCCTCGGGAAGAGGGCAGAAGCCGTGGGGTGGGTGGGTGCAGAGGTGCCCACACCCAGCCACCCGCACAGAGCCGTCCCACAGACGGGAGGGGAAAAAATAAATCTCCTCTTTTGTAGCTTTCTTTTACCAGCAGATAAAAGAAAAATAGCTTGTTTTTTTTGTCCCTGTGGTTTGTGTGATTTTTATTTTGCCTCTGCTAAACTGTGTATTTTTTAGCTCAGTAAAGTATTTATTAGGAATCTTTATGGACCAGTCTGCTGGTGAATTATATATATTGTACAGCTTCAGCATGAGCTGGGAAAAAAATTTATGACTTTTTTTCCAGACTGACTCTATCCAATAGCAATAAGAAAATGAGGGTTTACCAGCAAAGCTTAAAGTTCAGTTCTGCTTGCCAGAGCAGCAGATACATTTTCTGTCTTGGTTCATGTGCATTTATATAATGTAATTTTCCCCTCTAATTTGAAAGCAAAGCTGAAGCTGGGCTTTTGTGTCCTGCTAGTAAAGTCTGTCGAATAGCTATGGCTTGTCTTTTTTTTTTTTAATTTAAATTGGATTTCTCACTTTAGCATCAATTGTTTTTCAGATCATTCTTAATTCAATGCATAAATACCAACCACGGCTGCACATTGTGAAGGCGGATGAGAACAATGCTTTTGGGTCGAAGAACACAGCTTTCTGCACCCACGTTTTTCCGGAGACGTCCTTTATATCAGTGACTTCCTACCAGAATCACAAGGTAGGGCGCTTTTCTGGCTGGAGGTGCTTAATTTCTGTTCGCGGGCGTTTACAACTCGCAGCGGCAGCAAAACCATCTTCCGCACGGCAGCGGCGCAGGGCGGTTGCTGCGGTGCCGTGCTTTGGTGAGCAGGATCGGTTTGCTCGGCGCGAGGGGGAGAGCCTATTACGCTGCCGTTGTGCAGCAGAAGGCGGCTGCTCTAGGAAAGTTTACATCCCACTGTTAAGGAAGAGTGACGAGCCAGAGGATGCAGCTAAGGAGCAGCATGGACATCGCTGGGCAACAGTATCTTGGCAAACCCTGCGAGCCCGGGCGCTAATGAATCGGCGTGCTCATAAACGCTAAGATGTCATTCAAAACAGCGAGCAAATCTAATAATGACTAGTAAAGCTGGCTCATAAATCTACAGTGAAAAGTAATTATAGCATGTGTATTTAGGGAGACGTACGAGGAATGTAACCATAAAACCCCAGCTAAGAGCCTGTGCCGTGGTTAGGACGGGAAAGCAGGAGGGGGTTGCGTTTGTTTTGGGGGGAAATACAAAGGGCTCGGTTCTGCACTTCGGGTGTATGTTGCAGCCACCCGTGGGTTTGGCTTCTCTGGTTCTGTTTTGAGCGGGGTGGCAGTGGCAGCAGCGGGTAGCGGTCCCGCCTGAACCTGAGGATTCTACCAGCCCGGGTTACTAGCAGAGTGGACAAAGGCACTGTGACAGTCCATTGTCACCTCCCTGTGACAAGTCACCAGGGCAGGGAGGGGAGAGGATGCCAGGCAGGGGATGGCAAGACTCCACTTTCAATCCTGATACTGATTTTCCATCTTCCCTGCGGTTTTCCTCGTGGTAAAATCCAACTGTAGGGTTGTATGAGGATTAATTGGAGTTTTTAAAGTACATTTGGATTCATAAATAAAGGTGCAGAGTGACACTGGAGCCGTCCTGTCACCCTGGACGTGCATCTGCTGTGTGTTACAGCATCAGCTCTTTTCCTACACATTCACAGGAAAATACTACAGGAACACCTGAAATTCTTCCTCCCCAATAACCTGACCAGACCTTTTCCTCCCAAGCAGGATGCCTGTATGTCCTTTGATGCTTGAAGCATAGAGTCCTTGCAAGATTTTGCAATTAGTGAGCCAGTTAAAAGACTCAGAGCAGAAACCTGGATGTGTGTGTTATGGTAAGACAGGGGAAAAAAAAATCGTCCCTATTTGGACACTGAAGTGAATCCTGTCTGAAAAGTTGTAGCTGTCGGTGTAAAATGACCAGTTGCCCAAACATGGTTAACCAAAAAGGCTCGAAAGAGCTTATTTAATACCTACTTGAAACGTCTCGCGTGTCAATAGTGCCTTTCATCCCGAAGGTTCCCAAAGTGCTCCGTAAACTTAATACTTCCACTGTCATTGCCACACAACCACTGCCGGGGGGAGGTTGGTGGCTGGGTGGCAGCACAGAGTGGACCTGATGGATTTAGGGAAAATGCCCCACATCACCCCTAATCCTTTTGGGAAGATCCTGTGAGGAGCCGCCCCGGCGCTGCCCAGCTCTCGCGCTGAGGTCTGCAGGCTGGGGGCAGTCGGATGCTGCCTGGCCGGGGGGAGCACGGCCGTACGCAGCGGAGGAGCGAGAGGCAGATGGTCTCGCCAAAACCTCACTGTGGTCTTGAGGAAATGGCAACCTCAGAGAAACAATACAAATGGCTTTACTTATTCTTACGCATTAACAATTAAAATCCTGGTCTGGGCATCTTCTAGAAAAAACAAACCACCAAATCATTTTTAGCTCAGACATATCCTGCTAGCAAGAAGTGCCCTCACGAATAATCATCTTTCTAAACAAAAAATGAGAGTTGTGGTTACAGTGCTGACTGTGAGGCTCCCAGAGATGGCAAGCTGATGGTAGAGGCTGCCCCTGAGTACAGCGCGGTGAGGATGGTGTAAGGGTTTACCCAAAACTCCCCCCTGGGTTGAATGAAACCAGGGGAAGGTGACAGGAAAGGAGTGAAGCTCTAAGTCTGCTCCTGTCAGAGGAAAACCGCAGTCACTAAATAACAGAATTAAATTAAGAGGTACAAACCTGGTGTTGGGCTGTGGGTTAGGAAGGGCCCTACGCTTCTCGTGGTTCATCGGCTGATTGGGAGCTGCCCTGGAGACACTCTGGGCTGGTTAAATTCACGTCACCACCTTCCTTCTCCAACACAGATACCAGCCAGCTGTTTTCTCGGGAGGTTTTTAGTAAGGGATGTTTTTCAGCATTGCTACAAGGGCAGGTTGTTAGTTCTAGCCACACTCTTGTAAAATCATCTGAAAGAAGAACTTGGTTGTTACCCTCGCCGCTAAACTCGGATGCAGGCTGGTGCAAGCCCACGGCCGGCTAGCAGGGGTGTGCAGGGCTGCGCTGCCCTAGACAGGGGAGGACCCGAGGGCAGCGGCATGGTCTGCAGGAAGATATGTGTCCTCGCCTCCCCACCTGTTTCCTGCCACGCTGTCACCTCTCCTCCTTGAAAAGGTCTTTCCAGTGACAGTGGGATGCCCAAGGAGATGATCCTACCCACTGCTGTTCCCTAGTAAGGAAGGATATTCATAAGACCTGTTTCTAACCAATTCTGCCCATGACGTGTTAGAGCTGCCTAAAATCTTTCTGCCAAAGAGCCTTAGGCGTGGGGCTGTGCCCAGGAGCACCTACACCTCTTTGGGAGGCAGACAAGGGGTATTCTTAGGAGCTCCTGTGTCCCTACTCCTGTATCCCCACAAATGTTCTGGTGCTGTCCTGGCATTTTCCAGCTCCTGAAACCCTCACAGATGATCTGGTTTGCTACCTGTTTGTCTTTATAAAGTCCTTTGTTAGAGAGGGGGTTTATTTTTATTTTTCACTGGACAACGAAGTACCTCTTCCCGGCACGTCTGACCGTTGTATGGCTTTGGTTTGTACCTGCTTATAAAGGGAAGGGACTGGGTGGCAGGCTTGGCCAGGGAAAACAGTATGTTTACTGTGTCTGTGAGACACACAAACTACTGATTATTTTTAAGGCAAATTTCACACATTTATTTTTTTAACAGAATTTTCATGAAATGGCACAGCTTTCACAGTTCCCCTACAAAATCTGAGCTCCAACAAGATTAAATCTAGTCTAAGACAATTCTAAGGCATTTTGACCTTTTTAATACACTGCAGCTCTTGGAGGGAAAGGAAGGTCTTGCAAAAGGTAGCACCTTTCCCTTGACTAAAGACAATTCACTATCTGAACTGAGCCTTGTCACAGAGGAAAAATGATAGATAAATGGAAAATAAATGAAATTGTTATGGGAATGAGGGACAGCCATGCTGTAAGGAATAGGTGTCTAACATGGAGACAGAGAAAACCTTCTTGTAAATCAGACAAATCTATTCTCTCTAACATGAGACCAGAGTAAGAACACAGGACCCCAAATAAGACCCAAACCCAAGGAAATTTAAATTCCTCCCCTCATTCATAACTGACAATTTTGCCAGCTTTAAAAGCCTCTTCCACTTCACAGCTCAGTTTCTCTCAGTGCTGACAGCACAGACACTGTCTGCCACCACATCTTCAAACGCCTGTAACTCTGACGGACTCTGCATTTCCCGGGGTGTCACACAGGACAGGGCACCTAGAGACCTACAGCCGCAGGCCTGCTGCGGCCCGTTCGGTGCTGGTCCCTTTTCAAACGCTTTACGCTTTCATTCTTTTAAAGATAACCCAGCTGAAAATTGAGAACAACCCCTTTGCCAAGGGATTCAGGGGGAGTGACGACAGCGACCTGCGCGTGGCACGACTGCAAAGGTACGGCCGGACGGCACGGGGAGGGAGGGTGCTCAGCGGGGCAGCCTCTGCCTCCCCGCTGCCTCGCTGGGGTTGGGGAGCTGCTGCTGTGTGTGTGTGTGCATGGCTGTGTGCAGGGGTGTCTACGGGCAGGCCGTGTCCAGCATCAGAGGGCTGGAGCCCCTCTGCCATGGGGACAGGCTGGGAGAGTCGGGGGGTTCCGCCTGGAGAAGGGAAGGCTCCGGGGAGACCTTATTGCAGCCTTCCAGTACCTGAAGGGGCTACAAGGAAGCTGGCGGGGACTTTTTACAAGGGTCTGTAGTGACAGGACAAGGGGAAACGGGTTTAAATTGAAAGTGGGGAGGGTTAGATTAGACATCAGGAAGAAGTTCTTCCCGGAGAGGGTGGGGAGGCACTGGGACAGGTTGCCCAGAGAAGCTGTGGATGCCCCATCCCTGGAAGTGTCCAAGGCCAGGCTGGATGAGGCTTGGAGCAACCTGGTCTAGTGGAAGGTGTCCCTGCCCATGGCAGGGGGGTTGGAACTAGATGGGCTTTAAGGTCCCTTCCCACCCAAACCATTCGATGATTCTATGGTTCTGTGACATGCAGCCAGCATACACTTCAGACCCCTGCCCTCCGCAGAAATAAGCCTTACAGCTGGGCCTTAATCCTCATCCTGCTGCTGATGCGCTGCACCTCTTCGGAGAAGAATTTTAAAAAGTGCCTACACCCTGGGGGCATCACATTTTCTTGTGTTTGAGGACATTAGGGCTTTTAATGCCATTTATAGCCCTGAAAAGCTCCTCCTGAAAGTCAGTGACACACTCAGAGTGCTGTTGTAATGCTTGCCCACACCCAGCAGAGTGTGATGAGTATGAGTTCATTGTATTTGGCAAAGCATGTTGAAGTCATTGGATGGAGATGTTCTAGGGAAGCCAAACTAATATTTCATCCTTCTGTTAATGATTGTTGTCTAACTGGTAATCATTTTTCTTACCTCTTTTAGCAAGGAATATCCAGTGATTTCCAAAAGCATCATGAGGCAGAGGTTGGTGTCCAGTCATGGCCAGCTTTCAACAAAGCCAGATGTCAACCCACTTCATGGGAATCACCAGACCCTTCAACATTATCAGTATGAGAACGGTGCTCACATGCAATTTGCAGCTTCAGATACTCAAGACCTGCCACTCAACACCTTCACAGCACAGAGGGATTCAGGGCTCTTCTATCATTGCCTAAAACGAAGAGGTAACTCAAGTTTACAGCTAGAAAAATATTACAGCAAATAAACCTAAGAGCAGGAGCCCTGAAAGACTTATCACTAATTCCAGTTCATTTTAGATCAGTCTCTTGGGCCTTGATTTTCAAAGATACGGATGTGATCAAAATGTTTTGGAGGGTCAGGGCCCAAAAGCTGGGTTTTTGGGCAGTTATTGGTGGTTTTGTCCCATAGAAGCAAATTCAGACTCTGAGTCAGAGCCGAAAAAAGTAATCAGAATGCATAATCCAAATCGCATGAAGCTACGCTGGAAAATTATCCATTGTTAGAAACAGCTGAATAATAATTGTTTGGTGGAGGTCATATCTATTTTGAGATGTTCTGACACCGCCATTAGCATTAATGAAGTTACACATATCCAGCACTTTTCCAGGATGAAGCCATTAGCAATTATCCCAGTGTCTGCAGATTAGTGGGACTGTGGTAGCTGTGTGTAAGCATCCCTTTCTTCTCATCCACTAGTTCTCAAGTTCAAGTGAGCTGTAACAACATTCTCTGCCTTTTAGTCCAGCAGCAGATGAGATCACGGCCTGTTTTAAGTTAAACGGAAAAATTTTGCACAGAAAAAAAATCCTATTTGCATGTCTCATTGGCCACTAATTTATTTAAGCTGTGAGAATCCTCTGATCATGGGCAAATGAAGAATCTAACAGCACCAGTAATGAGGACTGCAAGGCAAATGTGTAATTTGAGCAGATGTTTAATCTGCAGATGAACTCACTAATTCATCCAGAGAATATTCCTAACAGCTCTAAGAAAGCTGCTGGTAAAAACAGCCACGGTCATCACAATCTGTAGGAGAGGGGCTCCAGTTTCTTGGTGTAAAGCTGAGGGGAAGGACTGATGACTGGGAAAGCGCTCCTTTATCTGGGAATATTTCTGCAGCTTTTGACATGAATATCTGGGAAATGTGTAGCCATTTTTGTAATGACAGGAAGGCAGGCTGCGATAAGACCCTTCAAGAGACTTCTTGAGTTTGTCAGGAGTAACACTGCAGGAGTGTCAGGGACCTCTGTTATCTGGATGAACGTGAAGTAATCTCTGATGTGAGAGTAGTAGCCCAAGTCACTCGCTTAACCTGATCCATGTCACCAGAATGCTTTGAGGCCGAGGGGATTAGCCTGACATTTGCAACACGATGTCTTTTTGATGCACGCTGTCTTTCCAAACTAAAATGGTTTAACTGGGTTAATCTGAAAAAGAGCCCCCGTGGTTTAGCGGAATAGGCACAGATTGCGTGCTTGGCTTCCAAGGGAAGGCCGTGAAACCACCCCAGGCTCTTAGCTGCTGTCACACGCCATCGCTCTGGGAGCTGCTCCTGAACGTGGGTTTTTTCTGTTTGCAGAAAGCGCTCGGCACCTGGACCTGCCCTGCAAACGCTCCTACCTGGAAGCCTCCTCTTCTGTAGGAGACGATCACTACTTCCGTTCCCCGCCTCCGTACGATCAGCAGATGCTAAGCCCTTCCTATTGCAGCGAGGTGACTCCGAGGGAAGCGTGCATGTACTCTGGTTCTGGGGCTGAAATTGCTGGTGTCTCAACGGTTGACGACTTGCCGCCTCCACCTCCCCCCTTGAGCTGCAATATGTGGACTTCTGTCGCACCTTACACCAGCTACAGTGTTCAGACAATGGAAACTGTCCCTTACCAGCCTTTCCCCGCTCATTTCACTGCCACCACCATGATGCCGCGGCTCCCAGCCATCACGGGTCAAGGCTCGCAGCCACCAGGTAACAGCCACTTCAGTGTCTACAACCAGCTGTCCCAGTCTCAGGTTCGGGAGCGCGTTCCTTCTTCATCTTTCCCAAGGGAAAGGGTGCACCCGTCTGTGTGCGAGAGAAAACCCCCCTCTCCGCACCTAAACGCGGCGAACGAGTTCCTGTACTCACAAAGCTTTTCCTTGTCGAGGGAGTCGTCGCTGCAGTATCATTCAGGGATGGGGACTGTGGAGAACTGGACTGACGGATGACTCCGACGGCCAAGCGATGCCACAGCCAGCGTTACTGCTCTGGGACAGTGTTCAGTCAGTGTTGATACCTGTGGGTAACTTGCACTTCGGTGAGACAAATGTGCCTTTCCAGAGGGATCTGTGTGGGTGAAGAGCTTGTGTCTTCAGACACACAGAGAATGACTTCTCCTGTCTCGGTGGGCTGGATTCATCAGCCTCTTACTGACTCCCGAATAAATTAATTCTTGCGTTTTCATTACTGATCCAGTAGGAACCATCTTCATGACTAACAAGTGAAGTAATTTTCTTTTGCTTGTAATATTAAACACCCATGAGCAAATTTTGGCTATTTGGAAAAAATATGAGCTTCACTTTTATGGTACTTGGTTCGTGAAGTCACAGCATCCCAAAACTCAGTGGAAAAAAGAGATCTGTTTGGTTGCCTAGTTCAAGGACTGCTGTAGCAGCACTTCTTTAGCTCTTTATAGCTGTAGAAATTCCTTCTTCCTCTGGAAGGGACGGAGCCATAGGAGCGCAGGGGCCAGCAGGGAGGCTCGGTGGTGGGGTCAGGGAGCTGCGGTGCCGCTCCAGTACCTCCCCGGCACAGCGCAGGGCTCGTGCCATGGCGTGGAGCGGAGAAGGCACCGATGCACAAATGCCTCTTCTTCCCCACACATCACCATCCTTTGGGGCTGTGGGAAAGGAAGAAGTGAAGCGTTACGCCTGAGGCCAAACAGCAAATTACTTGCAGCGTTAGGAACAGACCCAGTGTCTTCAGACTCCCATCCATTGATTGAATCACACTTGCTTATTGCAATATATTTATGAAGTTTAAGCTTAAAAGTTGCTAATACTTTCCAGAAACGATTTCCGCATTTGCTGGTCCTTGATTTCTTTCGTATTCAGCTGAAACGCGCCTTTTGTGCTATGTTTTTTAATTTTGCAGCTAACTCGGAAAGAATTGTTTTCAGCAAAAAGGAGGCATAGAGGAATATTTTCTGAATTGTGGGGTGGGCTGAGTTCCCACGACCTGTCAGGCTTTACAGTGTACAAATATTTGTAGAACAGGTAAAAATCTGTAACCAGTGTATACGTTGCTACTATTGTTTACTGCGGAAGTATCTTGAACTGACTCCTTCAGCACTGGCTTTGCCTACCAGAGCATCCCTACGAGGTGAGGAGGGATCGCTCAGCCGACGGCCACGGCGCAGAACGGCCTCGCGTGGGAAAGCAGGCTGTGCTCTTTCTGGAACGAAACTCCCCTTGCCTTCAACCGAAAGCTCCTGAGCAGGGACGTGTCTCCCTCCGGTCGGCGGCGCGTCCATCCAGCTGAGCTCCCAAGGGGTGGCAACACAGAGGCGATGCGGGGAGTTTGGTTCCAGTAACAAGCGCAGTGTTTCAGCTCTACTCATGCCAAGGGGGGTTTTCCTCCCCGGCACCGCTTCCCAAATGGGCAAAGGCAAAAAGCTGAACTACAAATTTGGAAGTCGGGAGGTACTTCTGCATTGTGATGAATCCATTCCAATGAAGAGAGGCTGATGGATGAGGGCGGCTGCTTGCAGTGAGATAACCCTGAGGCCACTAACGTGGAGGTCACGTTTCAACCAGGACAATCTCGTACACCCATTCAGCAGATTATGTGTGTGACCGGTGTGGATTTTGTAATCAGATTTTCGAAATCACTACAATTTTTGCATGCTGAATAGCTATT